GTATTCTTCTAGGCGCAGTTTCCATCGCTGGAGTCTGGACGAGGAATCTTTGACGCTGAATAACCATTTGAGTGCCATGTGGTCTGTAACAATCTTAAATTTTCTTCCTAATAGGTATTAGCGCAGAGGTTTCACTGCCCATACGATGGCGAGCAACTCTTTTTTCCTGCTCCTCGAGGAAAATGTAGTTTCTGCTTTCTATCTCGAAGCAATGGGTATCCTGGCAGTAAATTAACTTTTCCGTGGTAGTATAGTTTTTCTCTGCGCTGTTCAAGGCGCGTGATATAAAACAGCATGGGTGTAAGTCTTGTGATAGAATAGCACCGAGACCGTCGTTGGATGCATCCGTCGTTAGCGTGAATGGTTTCGCGTAATCGGGGTAACATAACACCTGTTCTTCGCACAGTTTGGAACGTAATAATTCAAAGGAGGTTTGACATTTGTCCGTCCAGGCAAACGGAACATCTTTACGCGTGAGTTCGGTGAGCGGTTTAGCTATTTTTGCGTAATTGCGTATGAATTTACGGTAGTATCCTGTCAGTCCAAGAAAAGAGCAGATTTCTTTTAGATTAGTTGGGATCTTAAAGTCTTTCCAAGATATTCTAATTCTGGTCGAAGGAATTCGCATTTATCAGGTTGGACCTTCAGTCTTACTTCTCGTAGTCGTTGAAAATCTGTTGTCAAATTCTTGTTATCGTCTTCTAATGATGCTCCGATAATTATAATGTTGTCTAAGTATGCGAAACAATACTTTCCGACAAGTCCAATAAGCGCTTTATCCATCATCCGTTGAAAGGTAGATGGGGCGTTTTTAAGGCCGAACGGCATACGAGTATACTTGTGGTGTCCGTCAGGGATGGAGAACGCGGTGTACTTTTTTGAGTCGGGGTGCATGGGGATTTGGTGAAACCCAGATTTTACATCAAGAGCGGAGAAGAACTTTGCTTTACCCAGACTGTCGAGGATGTTGTTGATGATAGGTAGTGGATATTCGTCTAGATTAGCTTATTCAGTTTACGGAAATCGACAACGACTCGGTCCTCGGACAGGGCCAAGCAACGTCAACTCAACATGTGTCCGTGAAATTTTTTTTCCTGCTCCTCGAGGAAAACGTAGTTTCTGCTTTCTATCTCGAAGCAATGGGTATCCTGGCAGTAAATTAACGGAGCCCCCGCTTCAGTGAAACTGCACGACGGTTCGTTCGTTGCACTTCTGTAAAGCACGTGTTTTCCTAGAACGCTGGTTTCTTTTTACCTAAATCTTGTTGCCACGGTGGGAGGGAACTCACAATGTAACGATGAGAAACTACTTGGGGGTAGAGGAAGCCCTTTCGGAAAAATTCTGTCAGTCGGTTAGCAATCGGGCGACAGATATGTTCAGTTCATCGGGCGACAGATATGTTCAAATTGAAAACATTCAGCCCGTTTCGGGGCCATCAATTTTCCTAACGTAGGAACAACACGTTCGATTAAAAATACATAAGTGATCGTGTCGGCTGATCAGTGTTAGTGGTCGTGCAGTGAAGTGAATACATATTCGGTGGAATAATCCGGACGCACTTGACGTTAGAACCCCTAACTTCGGCTAGTGAGGTATACCTGCGGTCACCTGCGAACTGGGCGATACCCTGCCATAAACCGTTTCAGTCGTCGATAACCAGGATCGGTACAGTGACCTACTTACTCAGGTCTGCAAGCTGCAGGTGAATTTCCGAAAGGGTGAGCTCTATTCAATTTATTGTTGATTATTTTTTTTTTAATTTAACGCAAGCTACATAAGACTTTTTCCCGGCAATAATTCTGCAAGTTTCAGTACCTACATTTTTCTTTGGGCTTCTTAAAGATTCTGTTTAAAAACATAATTGTGTATTCGTCTTTTTACGTTACACATGATTTTCTTACATTTATGTTTCATTCATTCGTCACTTTAAATGACAAACGGAAGATGATAAAAAGTTCGATTTGTTATGTTTTTCTTATTTACTATTATACGCGGTTTCCTGGGATGCATGCCAACTTGCTTGTTCGGAGCGTCATAGTACAAGCTTAGCGCGTAGCCACCGCTAGCGCGGGAACTCGGCCAGCAAACTCGCGTTCTGATTGGTCCGTGTTTTTCGGTAATATCTCGTTAACGAAGCCACACCTAACATTTTCGCTAAGGAAAAAGTGGTTTCAAATCACCCCAGCAACTCCTCATGTCCCGGAAGAGAGGCACTTTTGAGACACCCTGTATAATAGACTGCGCGTCTTATGGTATGGATAAAGAGAAACCGGAAGGACAGAAGTAGCGCTGGTGTAACTCGTTCTTGCTCACACATTACAGCAGCTGGGGAGAAAGCGCCAGGGAATCCCCTACCAACAGCCCCATTAGAAAGAGAGAAAAGTCACTCCAGTTACTGTCCTCTGTTTCTAGTGCCGACTTCATGTAGAGTGTAACAAAAATGTTGCTTCACCCTGTAATGGGATATTCATTTCTAACTTACATATGATTGTCCACGTTTGTCCACCGAGCAGAATCGAATTATTAAGAAAAAACATAAATAATAAAATATGATCGCTCTGAGCATCTTAATTAGAAATGAAGGAAAAATGTTCCTGGGAGTATTGATATCATATTCTTAATTTGTTTGTAACTTTTTTTTGAAGGGTGGATAAACGATAATTTTGATTGGACAAATGTGGAAAAATCGTGGACAAACGAATACTGTTCATTTTTCATAAAATTTTGTATTTGGAGGTGCTAACTTCACATACTTATGGAAAGGGTAACTCGCGCGATTATCCCACGATTCTGGAATCACAACAAAATATGCGCTTGACGGGATCCACCCCCCCCCCCAGTGGTAGGAATGACACCTGGACAATAATCGAGGATAAACAGCCAATCGATAATCGTTAGTTCCCTGTATTTTCATAATTCCAATAATTACGGAATTCCAGAACATATGATTTGTAGTAAATTTATTTTCAGAAGTATATACTGTACAATTGATATTAAAATTTTTTTAATTTATTAAACATGTCAAAATTCCAGTTATCTAGCAAATTGTCGATTATCGGATGATTTTTTCTGACGAAATGTTTTAGTACGATTCAATTGCTTCTCTGAATTTTGATTATTCATGTTTTTGAAGTATCCATAACCACCTCCACCTAATCTTTTTCGTGGTCGTGAATTCTTGCTTATTCCCACTTCTAAAATGAAAGTAGTAAGGAAAAATTGGGAAGTGATTTTATAAGATGTATAATGAATAACATGAAGTATGGAGAATACTGTACAAAGTGAAAATATGAGGATAATTATGCAATACAAATGATTTTAATATAAACTTTTGTGCTATTGAATCTTTCAATTGAAAATAACAACTCTCGTGAAATTTAAAAAGTCTAGTAAAAATTTGCTGTGCTGTATTTCATAGTTTTACCACTGTGATATAAAGCATATTTACGATCATGATACTTTTGTATAACATTAGTTTGATAAAATCTATAAACTGACGAAGGCTTATTATAAAGTGAAGGCAACATAATTGAAGAGACAACAATTTTTTGTTTGCTGTGTTGATATACATAGAACCATTATAGTCTTTTCTGAAATTCTAGACTTTCTTGATCTTTTTTAAACGTGATATTGTTCCGTTTAATCAAATTTATAATATAACTAACATTATATAGTAACATACTAAATATATTCTATGTAAATTGTAATGAAATAGTTTAAGCAAACATTATTTCTATAAAAAGCATACAAAATTTATATACTATTGTTTAGTTTGAAAAAATTGAATTCTGCCTAAAACCTTCACAATATTCTAATAATTTCCAAGAACATAGTTGATAACTCTTTAGGTAGCTTACCCTTTATGATACAAATAACATAATAAAAATAATACCTTGTTAATAATACTGAAAGAAATAAATAAAAGGCTAAAAATACTGAAGAACAATGCAGTATCTTAATATATACAATTTTAAAAAGGATACTCAAATCAATGGCTGGTGGTACAATAAATCCAAAAGATTTTGCCACTTTCGCTAAGTCCAAAGTTTCAATATCAAAGATTTGTTTTAAATGGTGAGAATCATATGCTCTTACGTATGCCTTAAATGCCTCTTTTGCTGACATATTTAAGAAGTAATTTTTTGAAATCAATTTTTCAAGCTGAAAGCAAACAAGTAATAATTTAATATTTTTCTCCTGGAATAATTATATTGGTAAAAGGTTTCATTTCGTTATTAACCCTTCTTACACAGTACACAGATGATTTTAACCCATGTCTACACTTTAATTTTGCACCATGTTTTTGTTATACAAGTTTACAAATTAATTTTAAACCAACAGCTTAGCTAACATGTACTACAGTGTAGTACCTAGTTACTGGGAAATGAATTTTCTTATAATTCAGCTTTCACTTCTGCCCAAGTCAATTTCAAAAATAACTATATAATAGTTGATGGAATGGTGACTGAGAGTTAACATCACCTTTAACAATTCTCATCTTTTTTTACTTTCTCAAATTGTCAAATATGCTATAAGAATATTTCTTATTTATTTCATAACAGAATAACTCCATATTTTGTCGTACTACTTCTCTCGTTTCATTAAAACATGATAGCTATGTATTGGATTCACCCCAATGATCTTCATAACTAGATACAATATCACATGTTTTTGTGCAAATCATACGTATCATTAGCTTTGCAAATTGCTGACAAGGTCTCTCATTGTGTCCAATACGATGTAACATTCTATCCAAAGGTAAACAATAGCTATGCATGAATCTTTAGGAAACTTCAATTATCTTTCAACGCAAATATCTCGAAATTAAATGATCGAAATAGCGTGGTTATGAAGGTGGTCGAATTTTACTTTTTATGCTCTGTAAGGATATCGGAAAAAGTATAAGATTTCGTTTAGAAAAATACCGATGACCTTGAAATCTCGTAAAACAAAAAAAAATGACTAATGTAAGAAAAATTCTCTCTACCGTCACATGAGCCTCTTTTATAAACAGAAACTAACAAATAGACTGGAAGTAATGTTGAAAAAGCAGAAGTTATGCGACACAACTGCAAATAGTTTGGAACCATTCTCATGAAATTATAGATGAACAGAAAAAGAACTAATTACAGAAATGAAAAAAAAAAACATAAATATAGAAATTAGCAACATGAAAGCACCAGGATTTGATTGAATCACAAGTAAAATTCTGAAAAAAAAAACATTACGTAGAAAATTACGTAATGCAGTGGTATACTTAATTTACTTTCTAATACAATAGAAGATAGCCCTAATTATAATAATTCCAAAACCTGAAGAAAACCCTAAGTAGGTTACTTCATAGAGACCAATAAATTTACTTCTATAAATGGCAAAAGTACTTGAAAACATCCTGGTTAAGACAAACCGGACATAACATCTATTCGTATCGGACACCCTATCCATTCATATCTGTCCAGACTAATTTACCCAATTCTTCCAACACGAATCTTTGTCCATTCTATGTACAATTTTTTGCAACTTTCATAATCAAACAGGGATTTGCTTGCAATTTCAGTTTTAAACAAAAAAATCGAATCTTACCTGTAATTGAATGTCAGCAATCTTATTCCATGAAAAATCAAATTCGTTTACAGGTACTCTAGCTTGTTTAAGATAACGAAGGAAACCAAGTTCTTCTGGTCTCAATATCAATAAGGCATGACCACTGCTGCCTTCTCCGCGAGCGGTTCTACCAACTCGATGAATATATTCCTAAAGTAGTGTTTAAGTTCTTTCTTATTATTACAATAATATTAGATTTTTCTTTCGGTGTAAAAATTGTATTACGAACGTATTATTTAGGACTCAGAAATACTACAAGTATTAATTAAAACAACTATACACTTGAAGAAGTTTTGTTACGTAACACAAAGAATATAGTGTGCTAATAAATAAAACTGACTTCTACAGAGTACCCTACACTTGTTTATTATTTTTATTTCTAATAGTGAAGCTATATTAAGAAATTGTGCTTTAAGAAACAAACAATTTAATCATATCATTGGTGTTTAATATGCTGTGATCAACCAAGACAAAGTATTTCACTTGAGGTTTTCCTTGAAGATCTACACTTTAGCAACCTCAGTGATGCATACAATTAAAGAAACACTGTCAAAAGTTTGTGAACACATTTTTTATAAATATTCTATATAGTCAGAGTCAAAGTGAGGAGCACGTATGATTACAATATTTTAAATAGCAACTTAAAATTCTTCTTTTATTACGTAACAGATTATAAGTATATGCTACTATTTAATTAACCACACTTCACAATTTACTATTTCAAATTTTTCATATCTAGAAGTGTATATGTATTTTTAACTATAAGTATTACAATACTGTGTCTTTGGTGTGCTAATGTAATATTGTTTCTGATTAAAATTATTATGTTGTGTTATAAAAGAATCATATGTATTTGGAAAAATAATTTAATATATAGACATGTGTTTGATAAGTTACCTTAGGATCATCTGGTGGATCATATTGTACAATCCAGTCAACAGCTGGTATATCAAGACCACGTGCCGCTACATCAGTACAGAGCAGTATACCAGAAGTGGCGTTACAAAATTGAAAGAAAGTTGTTGTTCTTTTGGTCTGTTTTTGTTTTCCCTGTTGCATAATTAAAAATCTTAATACAAGATTACATATTCTAATATAAAGATCACACATAATATTTCATATGTCACATACACTCACATGTATACTTAATACTGGCAAATCAATGTAGTTTAAAAGTTCATGATGATATTTGACAGACATACAAGAGCTGAAGAAAACCATGACTTTTTTCTTTCTATTCTTCTTCAAAAACGTAAATAAAAGTAGCAATCTTTTTTCACTAGGACAAACTACATAACCCTGTTCTAAACCTTCTACTGTTGCTTTCTCTTTATCATCATCAACACCAACATACACTGGTTCTTTCCTCAAAGCTAAAGTTGTCAACATTTCTGTTTTCTTAGTTTGTGTTGCACTAAACAACATGGTTTGTCTTTTTTCTGCAAATATGATAATTGTATAATCCATATCATTATTAAATTCCATCCGTTATACTGTTACATTACATTGAATTTTGTGTCTTGCAATTATCACATAACACATATGTATAATAATAGCTTGCTAAACCAATTTGGAACCACTAGCAAGCATTAACAAACACTGCCCAAAACGAATCCGGTTTTTATTTAATAATAGTCATCGCTGACCACTACAGCCAATAATTATTAAAAATACTTCACTCTAGCGCTATACCGAGGTGCAGCACAGAAAGTGATAATCCTGAAATACCTATTGCTGATCTACCAGTACCAGGAATTGCGAAATAAGTTAACTGTGAGTGTGACATATACTTCACAAAGAAAAAATCAGTTTCTAAATGGTACCACAGATGGCTGGGTCGAGATTCTAGACAGAAGACCCTATTCACTGAGGTTTATAAGCTCCAAGGGCATTGGGTACATTATTCCTCTACTCTACTCAACTAGTAATGCGATTGGATTCTGATAACAACAAGCAGACAGGGTACTTGCACCAGCCATATGAGTTACAATTAACAAACTTGTGCATCATTCAGCAAAGGCGGTTGAGTTTTAGAAAGGTCCATCAATTAATACAGATACATAGAGGCTGGCTCAATTTTGTAGTTCTGTATACTTTCTACAAAGAATCCTTGAAAATTATTCATTGGAGACTATAAAATGACTGCCTCACCTAGTTAATACTTTTTGACAATTTTTGTGAAAGTCCATTCTCCGTGTTCACTTGCATAACTTCTTGCATTTCTGCATCATAGTCCCAGACAGGCTTTACAAAACTACAGTAACATAACGTGCACTTCATACTTGAAAGTTGTACTTACTTGGTAAAATATTAATAATTTGCTTCAGCTCTTCTTCAAATCCAATATCTAGAATACGATCAGCTTCGTCAATAATGAGACATTGAAGATTTTTATATAAAAAGTCTGGTGTGTTTTGCAGATGGTCCAACAATCTACCAGGTGTAGCTACAATAATATTAATTCCTTTTGCAAGTTTCTGAGCTTCCGTTTGCCTATTGGCACCACCCATTAATAAACCATATGTATGATAATGATATTTCATCAGTTCCTTTAAAACTCCAAATGTTTGCATAGACAATTCTCGGGTCGGAGATATAATAATACATCCTGTACCTATAAGTTATAAGATAATCACACAAACTGAAAATACTTCATTTAATTCACTTACATACCATTGCGGGGCATAAATTTCAGTTTATAAGTTAGTTCAATAGCTGGTATTAAAAATGCTAAAGTTTTTCCAGATCCAGTTTTCGCAGATCCCACCAAATCTCTGCCTTCTAATAATGGAGGAATAGCTTTTGCTTGTATTTCTGTCATACTTGTAAAACCCATATCTTGGATCGCTTTTAAAGTATTTTCACATACTGTTTTTTCTAACACTTTGAAACTTGTATCATTTAATACTTCTAATCCTACTGTAGTTCCAGGTACTGAGAATGATTAATAAAATCATTTAAACAAATGTATAATATTATTTAACAAAGAACTAGTATTACGATACTTACAATTCATATCTTCTTTATCCGTGTCATGTTCTAATACAGAGTTTTCATTTGTGTCATCAACAGTATCGTCATCAGTACTTGATAGTTTATCATCTTTAATTTTCTTTCTTTTCTCTAAAATATAATATGAGTATACAATTGTAACCGATTTATGAAGAACAAAATAAAGGAATAAGTAGAAATTCACATGTAAAAGAACAAAGGCTGACGACTCAAAAAATCACCAAAAATGTGAAAAAGGCTAACACAATGACATCGGAGAGCAAAAAGAAATACAGTGGAGTTTGGTTATTGCGCCACTGCTTATAACAGCAGACCGCATATTGCATCCGACTTGCTCTCTAAGTTCGGTTCCCATACACATTACTTTATATATATTTTCATTCTGTTTATAACATTCGCTTACAGCGACATAATTTCTCTATCCCTTGAATATCGCTATAAACAGACTCCACTGTATTTACTTGGTTACCTAGAAAACTTGAGTGTGTGAGGACAAGTCAAATTAGTACTAACATGTATAAAAATTCTCACTACTACAATGCTGCTTAATTGTTCATGTAGCTAACACATGTCAATTGATTCTGGTGAAGTCAAGAATTTTTGTAAAACTATAATTCTGTTATACATAGATGTCAAGCACGCATTAACATACAAAAACACACAGCACATCTTTTATAAACCCTAAAGTGAAAATCTGACAGAATAAACATGTGTATTTAAACTTAGCACATCATTTGGAATTGAGTAAGTTGTTTGGCCTTATAACATAAGAAACCACTTTTGATCACAATAGAATAATGTACCTTTGCATACATTATTATTTTACATACATTTTAATATCCCTATAGTTATCTTAAATGGCCAATTGATTTGATATTAACTTTAATCTATAATGATATTTTCCTTATAAGAGCTCCTAATGAAACAACCATAGTTGCTATAAATATTGAAACTACTATTTGGTACCAAATAACATTATATTTGTTTCTTTATGACATAAAAAAATATTATATTTTACTTCTCGTGTTATATAGACTATAATGAATGAATGTGTTATTGTAATTGTATTTTAAGAAATAAAATTTAATAACAAAAGAATAATGAACGATACTATATGTCTGGTCTTTATGAATAACAACATTAACATAAACTTTTTATTCCAAATAAAATACAAAGAATCAACTTTGTTAAACTTTTGCAGTTTGTCAATAAAATTTTATTCATTATGTATTTACTACCAATTATTTATAATAAACATCTATAAACGTAAATAGATGAATTATTGCTTTGACTTACTTTTCATAGGGATATTGTCTGTGGAATGTCGTTTTAATCCATTTGCAAATTCTACATGTTCGTCAGTAATATTTTGTTTTAAATCCTGAAGTGCAGTTACATCTTCTATGAATGCAAAATGAGATATTGATTAATATTGTATACAGAAAAATTAAATATAATATCAATTACGAATTAATATTTACCATGTTCCACTTGTTTTTCTCGACTTTTCAGTATTTGAAGTTTCTTTTTTTCTGTTTTTCTAATTTTACGCATTAGGACTTTATCAGGCACTGACATTTTTATACAAGACTAAACAGAATTATTTACAGAAATTAAATTGAAAGCTTTGACAAAATTACGTTCGACCCATGTGGTATAAGAACTTAACTAACCTCAACCAGGGTCTAAACGACGTAGGGCTGGCAACCAGTGATATTATTCCACAGTTTCTGCCACACAAGCATACTTCACTTCTATCCGTGTGAGCTGGCTGTTCGGGAAGAATCTACGTTACCGATGCAACTCCCAACAACCTGAGCGCGTGCGCAGAAATCAGGAGACCCTATGCGAATTTCGCTACGACGGTTTTACTCAGTTTTACTTTATATTTGTAATTATTCTGTAACTTCGCTTTGCAACCCCTTTGTAAAATAAAAGATTGAAAAATATCGATTTGGGAAGCATTTAATAAAAAGGGGGTTGCATTTTTCCCTCTTCCATATTTAAATTTTATATTATGTATATATTGTGTTATATATGTATACACAAATTATTCTTACAATTAGATGTTACCGTTATTGTAAGTATTGCAGTATATAAATATAAAAATATTAGTAGAAGATTCCATCAGATGAAAATATTGCTTTTTAAATATACATAGCTATAGACATTAGTATATGTATAGTGCTGAAAATAGTAGAAATTATATCGTGTTTGGAGTTATTTTCATCAGGATAATGTTCTCAATTGATTTGTAACAACACTCGCATAACAACGCATTGAACTGAGTAAAAATTTGAATTTTTATTCATGCATGATTGATTCTGTGTATTGTTTACTTTATAGCCCTAGGCCGGGCGGTCGCCGACGGCACGGAGATTGCGGAGAGAGGTGGGTGCGGTGGAAAGTGCTACGCTACTCGTACATACTGTATGTACCTCATAGTACAGACCCATAGTACCCCATAGTACAGAGTTGTTGATTGTTTCGTAAATAAATTTATACAGACCACGGAGCTTCCCCCTTAAGAATGGAGAAAGAGGCGAAAAACTATAGAGGGGTAACATAGATGAGCACGGCGTATGAAATATACGCGGCTGCTTTAAATGAAAGACTGATAGAACAGGCAGAGAAGAGGAAGTGTTTTAAGGAGATTCAAATGGGATTCAGGAGAGGAAGACGAACAGTAGACTGTAAGTAAGTACAGTAAAACCTGTTTTTATGCGGTAGATAGGGACCGCATAAAAGAAACCGCACAAAAAAATATTCGGAAATTTCATAAATACTACATATAATAAACAACTTTGTACGACATACTACAGAAATTTTTTTTTATGCGGCGGAGAGGGACCGCATAAAAAAAGTCGCACTTAGAAAATACGTCAATTATTTACGAAATACATGAGAAAGTGCTTCCAAACAAAATAAATAATTAAATTACACATTATAAAAGCATTTAATTTTTCATTGTATACATGGAGAAGTTTTCAAAATGCACATTACATAATTCACTGTTAGTCGTCGTAATCCTTAACGCGCATCTTCTTGTGATGAATTGGTTCACCATCTGCTAGTCTATTTAATATTAGATTTTTTGTTTCTAATGGAATTGTCTTTCTTTTCTCTTTTTTTTGGCTACAATTATTCATTTTAAGGGAGTACATATGTTTAAAAATAAAATGAAAATCATAAAAACTATATACAAATAGGAACAAAAGTAATTAATTTATTTACCTTTAATCTCACTATAAAATGAATCCTTAATCACGTGAGTCGTGGATAAAACTCGGAATACGAAGCGTATGCTGCTAGCGCGTCGAGCGAAAATAATTGAATGTACATTGTCGGGAAACTGTTTAAACCAAATGAACAGAGCGTCTTGAAGTGTATATTTATATGTACACTGATAGAAAACATTACAGTAATGCCAACGCCGTTGAAATTCATATACCGCATAAAAAAAAATCGCACAAAAATAAAATCGCACAAAACAAATCGCATAAAAATAAAATCGCATAAAAAAGGACCGCACAAAAACAGGTTTTACTGTATATACATATTGAAGAATGTGGTGGAGAGAAGACCGAAGGAAAAGAGAGGGGGACTGTTTGCAGCCTTCATTGATTTGAAGGCAGCATTTGACGGACTGATTAGGGACGTCTTATGGAGATCTATGAGGGAGAGAGGGGTTGAGGGAAAATTAGTAAGGAGGATGAAGAGGATACACAAAGAAACAAGTTCTAGAGGTAGAGTGGGAGGAAAGAGTCAAGATGGAGGCTGAAAAAAGGAATTTACTTTGTACAAGAGAAGGTCAGGACGGTGGACTACTGGTGGATAAGAGAAGAATATGGTCGTTTTCATATGCAGACGATATTGTCCTGCTTGCGGAAAGGGAAGATGATATGGGATAGATGCTGGGATTTTAATTATTTTAGTAGAAAAAGCTTGTGGTGAATGTCGAAAAAAAAACAAAGATGATGGTGTTCAGTATATGGTTACAGAGAGGGAAGAGAAGAGAAGGGAATGGAGGTGGAGCAGCTAGCGATTAGAGTAAGTGAAGGACTTTAGCTATCTTGGATACAGGATAGTGAGAAATAATGGAGAAGAGGAGCATATAAGGGAAAAAGTGAGGAAAGCGAGATTGACCATGGAAATGATCTAAGCATAGGGGAAAGGAAGTTTAGAGGTGACTTGAGATGGAGATTGAAGCTATTTGATGTAGTAGTGAGCTGCATAGTAAGTTACAGAGTGAAACTGTGGGGGTGGAAGGAGAGAGAGAAGGTTGAGAGGATGCAGGAAGTGTAATTAGGATGGCTGCTAGGGGTGGACAGAAACACACTGGGCCATATAATCAGAGAAGAGGTAAAAAGAGATAAGTTGAGGGTGTGGTTATGGAAAAGGGCGGAAAAGTTTGATGAAAAAATAAGGAAAGGAGAGGTTACTCCTTTAGTTAAGGAATGCTGGATTGAAAGAAAAAAATCAGAAGAAGTTGGAAATTGGACTAGAAGGGAAAAGAAAAGGGAAGATTGCTATAGAAGGTGTGGTTACTCGGAGAGGGAGGTAGAGAGAATTAGAAATGAAAATAAAGAAGCCTGGAGAATCTTGGTAGCAAGGGATAGAGTGGTTCAAGAGCAGGAAAGAATGAAAAGTGTGTGGAATTCAAAGTATGCTCTAAGATACAAAAGAGGTAAGAGTGGTTAGCTGGCCGAGATATTTCAAGAAGAGTGAGAAAAGGGAAAAAGGAATAAAAGAGATGGCAAGACTGAGATGTGGCAATGAGGAGAAGGCCAACAGATACTGGGAGGATGAAGATAAAAGGTGCGAATTATGCTGTAAAGAGAAGAAGACGCTAGAGCATCCGGCAAGGGAGTGTGTGGGGATAGTTAAATGGTCAGGAGGATTGGAGGAGCTATGGAGATAAAGGGATGGGCCTAGAGTGGGCGAAACAACTAAGACAAAGAAGGAGGGAGAAAAGGAAGGAAAATGTGGGGGAGAGCTAGGAAATTGGAACCACACCAAAGAGAACAAGGGGCAATAAGATTAGGATACTGATATAGTTTTAGTTTTAGTTTTGAAATATTTAGATTCTAATTTGCTTTAATTCTGATTCGAGTTTATGTTACGTTTATAAATAAGTTTATTTGTTATAGTAGTGTAGTTTTTGTAACTCTGAAATGGTAAAGTTTTTGTTTGTTTGTATTTATATTTTTGTATAGTATTTTTCTTGATTATTGTGTATGTATCTGCTGGCACTCTATATCGGGCATTGTGTCATCGGAAGTCGCCGTAAAGCCGAAATGCAAGGGAAAATAAAGTATTATTATTATTATTATTATTATTATTATTACTTTTATTACTATATCTTGTTGGCAGTCGGTGAACCCGTTCATTGTCTTCCGCGAATAGTTCAGCACGGAAACCGAAGCAACCTCGTATAACTGTGTACTTTGACCATCTCATCATGGGAAACATACTGTACTATGAAAACATTTTTATACCTGAAGGGAAAGAATCTTGATTAGTTTATTACGTAGGAATTTATATTCTTAAATGAAAATACTGTAAACAAAAACATAACAATACCACTCATTATCCATAATTTTAAGAACAGTAGTAAATTTTATATTTTTATTAATACAGAATTTATGTGTTTATTTCATAATATCATTATATTTAACATGTTGAATGTTTGATTTATTTTTGTAGTTGTATTTGGTTTGAAATTTTCATTTTATTAGACTTTTTACGATTTGTAATACAAGTCTAATTCCGATATATACAATCCCTATATTTAGTTACTGGAAAATTGACAGACCATGTTTATTTCTGTTACAAAAACTACTATGAGTTATGTTAATGCTTACCATATAAAAAAGATATGAATTATAAAATAACTAACTTTTAACTAATTGCATAATTGGAGAACGTCGATTTTCTAAAAAAGTAAAAGAAATTTATCACAAAGTTTAAATTCTAATAAAGAAATTTAAATGTATACTTTTATTGTTGTTACAGCTTCAACATCACTACTAGTAAAAGTCCATTTCTTAAAACTTTTATATATTCGACTCTCTTCCTTTTATGAAAGTATCAAAAATATCCTTTCTGGTATTCATTCCCCAACAGACAACAAAAATGAAACATTTGATTCATAATTAAATGATTAAAAATATAATTAACTCATTTAAAATATACGTTGCCCAATTATTATACAGGCCCTTCGACTAACATTCATTCTACCCCCTTTTCCAAAAAAGGCGAAATAACCAATAACAATACAGATCATCTTGCTTAACTCTAATTCGACTTCAAGATGTAGAACTAAGTAAAATTTATAAATATGGTACAATTGATAATATGCTATAGAGCACTAATAGATTAATTACAGATACGTATAAGTAATAGCATTGTGTCGTTGAATCTTATGGCGATTTTTAAGTCCCCTGCTTACAAGTAATATAATCAAGGATTTAATTAAATGTCTGTTCTCATATTCAAATTGAGTATGCGTCATTCAGTCGAACAACCACACGCACCAACCACCACAGTGGACTAGCAGCCATCTTGACTAGCTTTTTTCAAATTTTTGCTGTTTCCTCCCATTTTATTCCCATCGAGATGAGAGTCTTCTGGGTCAGCAACAAATTGCATTGTGCTCTTCCGTATTCAGTGGATAGAAATCAATCCCCAGGATGCTCAGGGCAACTACGATTCACTTGAAACCATTTATCAATGCAGCTGAAATACACCAATTATATTCTGTTGCTTTCAACTTGTATATAGAATCATGTCACTAATCCTAAAACAACAATTATTGAGACACCATGACCTTGCAACATGCTAATGTTCTCTGTATATTTGCCAATAAATATTAGAATGTACCGTCTTTGTAACTGCCCGTAATTGAAATAACTTTTTATAGAACCCTAAGAGGGAAATGATGTGTGTATACGTTCGTTAGTTGCACAGTCATACACCTCAATGTAAATGCTACTGGTGTCTTTTTAAACTTAATATAAAAGCCTTAATACGAGAGGAAAATAGAGTTTGTATAGTACATTTAAGATTTATTTATAATACCTGAAATTTAAAAGAAACTTACTTTTTATGATATATACAAAGGCAGGGTAAACGGGCTATAACATCTCCAGGTTGTAAGTCTTCAAGACAGATAACACATTCGCCTTTCTCATCAGATAATACATCTTCTGCAATGCAAGATAAAAAGTGATACATCAGTTTAGTCTTACATTAGCTTATATACAGGGTGTCTCAACTAACTTGAGCACCTGAAATACTTAACGGCAAGTTTAGTAATTTTAGAGGCATGGAACTTAAATGGCATCACAAGGAACAACTTACAAGGTACATGCTTTTTTTGTGGGTGGAGGCATTTCAGAGATTTCAAGGTCACCTTGATTTTTTTTAACGGAATGACCTATTTTTTGTACCATAGATCAATACAGTATCAATTTCAGAGTAAAAACGTGTTCTTCATACGTCCTAAACCTAATAGTTAACGAGATATTCATAAAATAATTACTGTAGTGAAGTTCAGAGGCATCAGTTCGAGCACCTATAGCTTTCAGATAGTAAGTACGTATTAAAAATAATTCGATCTGTTCTTAATTTTACTACAGAACATCTTAAAAATGAGAAACACAAATGAACCCATGTTTAATCTTGTTTTCATCAAAATAATCTGGTTAGTAACTTAGGAAGGAATATTTTCCTAAATCTTTGTCACAAAATATAGAAGTTTTAAATTTCATTTGTGAATGTTTCACCTTATTGTTCTCAATATAAATATAAATATTTAAATAAAGAAATTCAAATTATTGCGTACAACCTAATCTCTGGACTTCACACTAAATTTTAAACAAAAGACAATCTGTATGCAATATGTAATCTGGTACTGTAGTTTCTATTTTCTTGCAGCAGGAAATTTATAGTTAAAAGTACCTGCACTATGTAGTAGAATAAAGTAATTTATCAATATACACTTAGATCATAAATAACAACAGTTACAGAATTTTATTAGTCCATTTTGCCAAAATAATGCATCAGACTCATAACACCTAACATAAATCAAGATGTACAGGGTTAGTACAATGATCTTTATAAATACATACTGGAAGTTAGGTTTTTCATTCACAAACAGTTTAAGTTAAAAGTTTTATTAGTAGTTTATATAATGATGCAAAGATACATTTTCTGTAAGAACATAATCTTTTGCAGGTAATGACATATTTCAGATTTAAAACTAATTGTATTTGAGATAATATATGTATTGTGTTATGTCTTCGTATTGTAGCAATGCAATACAAAGACAATACAGCAAATGTTGTGAAATTGTCATTATTTAAAACACTTCCTAGATGTGAATGTACTCTAGGATTGTCAGCTGTTAAAGAGACCATGTAAAATTACTTAAATACTTTTAAATATGCTGTTTGTTCAATTTCTGGCCATTAGTTATGTTACTGTGAAATGTTTAAGTATTTTAGCTTATGTCTTAATATTATTATTGATCAAATAAAAGCACCATCTATTAAGTGTTACACAATACACTGCAATCGACTGTTGCTGCAAATATGTACATATCATATATTGAAACTAATACACAGCATTTATTTCATAAAAACAAATATTTATCTTATTTAGTTTTTTTACATTCATTAATCTTATTTCAAAGATAAATATGTTATAATATCAACTGAAAATACATTTATATTTATTAAAAGTTTGCAACAAACAATGAACTACATTTTAACAACTGAAAATGATTTTAAAATTCAACATTTCAATGACCACATTAAACATATATATTTCTATAGTCACAAAGAACAAATTTCACTGTTGTATAAAATGAATATTTCTTTCTCATATATTGATATTGATTCTTGCATACAATTATTTTATTCAATTTTCATATGTAACTACTACATTATAGGAAAAGATTTAATGAAACTATCAATATAAAGTACAAACTTACCATTGTAACTAAGACGTGGTTTCGTCAGGCACATGACCAAGTGACATTCTATGTCATCTGGCAGAATAAATTTGGAACAAACAGGACACTTTAGACCTTCAAACCAAAGCAATTTATTTATGAGTATAATCTGTTGACACAGTAAAAAGTAAGGAATCATTAAGTTAGTAAGAACAATACCATACAAAATTCTTCTCATTTGAGTTGCTGGAACAACCTCAGTCTCAGACTCATTTAAACACGAACTTATTATAATTCCCATAATAAAAGCGGCATATTTCAAACCCTTCCATCCCAAATAGTACTTTTTGAAATATTAAAACATCATTATTAAAACCTATGCCCTTTTTATGGTCGCGATTTAAAATTTACGCAACAACGTTTGATCACGATTGATTTACATGTGGTTACCGGGACAACTAGCTAGACAACATACGCCAAACAGATGTCCACCGTTTAGCTCGCAATTAATTTAAGCTACTACAATGAAACGTGATCATAACATAACCTAGCTTTACTTTATTTTGAATTCAATTAGAGACGCAATTCAAGAAACACATTTATATTTAATAAAATAATATAGCCACTGGCTGCGTTCAGCGGATTCAACCGTTACGAATTCATCAGTGATCAGTCCTATTTTCCTGAATGACATTTGGGGTAGATAGTGTGATAGTTGATACATTTGTAGCAGTTTGTGGTGCTAAATTTAAATAGTTATTACACCATGCGTGAACAATATTGTCTTCTAATAAAATATAAAAAAAGGAATGCAGCTTTGCTAATTGCTTTGGACAATGAGATGGATGTGATGTGATTAAAATATTAATGGACGATATAGGGCATAGGGCAATCTAAAAATAATGTAACAACAACAAAGCGCAGAATTAACTATGCTGAAAATATAATTCCGTTATACACTAATAATTTATTTAAAGAACATTTTCGGATGTCACACATAAGTTTTGAAGTATACATTTGTTAATTCAATGATAGCTTTAAAGTGTATACCATAAATAAAACATATAACTTATACATATGTATTATTGGATATTATATTATAAAAAAAGATTAAATAAAGGACAGGAATTTGTGAATCATAGATACTAAATAAACAAATATGGAAAATATGGAATCCTATTTTGTATGTAAAATGCCGTCGTGGCTGCATTGTGCTAAGCGTTATGTTGTTTACGTTTGTCGGTCACTGGGTTCCGCCATATTGAATCACAACACGTTGAGCAAAGGTAGCGTAATTTATTTCCGCCACGAATATGACGACCGCTCACTAAATATGTTGAGAAGTTAGCAAGTGAGCAATACTGTTCAGCGTAAAATCTAGTGAAATCATTCAACAGTTGCGCAACGGTTGAGTCCGCTGAACGCAACCAATATGTCGTATAAATGTGATTAATTTTAAAACGCGTAAGAATTATAGAAATAACAACGTAATATGTTATGAAAAATTAGTGAATATAAGCATTTAATAAACTACTTTTTTGTATTCTGCAGCGAAAATATTGAAACTTATGTTTCACTTTATTGTGCATACGTAACACACACACACACACAAAATACACACGCACACGCGCGCGCGCATATTCATGTACGTATGAACAATGTTACGTAATCAATAATAAAATTTATATCATATTAAAAATTAATGTATGTACGAATACATCTTTGTACGCGCTTACATGTGTCACGTGCGTATATAGGTGTGTGCGCGCGTATACATCGTATGTCTTCCATTGTGTGTTCTGTATAAATATATATATTTATATATGGATACATGTACCATACATTAGACATTTCTGAACATAACACAGTGGAATGTTTTTCAACTACTAATTAACTTATCATATGTATACATATAAACTGATAGGTGCACACTTTGTAATATATTGGCTGTGATTTAATAAACTTACCGTTAAGAGACCAAATATGAGAAGGCAAGCTATGGGCAGCATAAACCCGTCCACTTTCTTCATCTGCATCATCTGAATCAAGTTGGGGTAGACCAAGTGCTTGACCAACTCCGACTCCAACAGAGGCAGCGAGACTGCTTTGTTCTCCAGAAGAAAGATCTGGCACTGAACTCAAAGAACGAGCACGTTGCCTACTGTCTCCAGACACTCGAGAAGTTTGAGATTGATTCCCTTGTTGATGTTGATGTTGCAACATGCTAACACCTCCAGGTAGAGAGCGAAGCATAGAAAAACTCTGCATGGTAGTTTCATTTGCTCCAGTAGAGGATTGCCCATTGCCTCCAGCAGATTGTGCTACAGTGCTTGCTTTAGCTCCCATCCCAATTGTAAGTAGTGGTAATATTCCGTTTCAATTTAAAGTCTTCGTGTAATGGGAAAATTCTGTCTTGTAATCACAAAAAAAATTAGTATTCCAGATATTGGATTTGGCAGTAATACACGCACTGACACAATTCTTGCAGATAGTCCTAACTTTTCTAGTTTTCACAGTCGGGAGGGTAGTCTAAATTGTAAATCTTAACGTCAGCGATGTTATAACACTCTAGGATTTAACGTAGGCCGAAATTTTGCAGACATGCACCACAACGAGCAAGTCATATCGTCCGAAAGCATACCAGCGGCTTGTCACGCAAAATACCCCCCGACATCTTGTGAGAAATTTCCTAGAAGTCAGTAATCAGCTGCTAGATACCATGATGAATTTACGCTGTGCGGACTTGATTTATTTGATTCGTTCTGTACTGACACGAAACACCAACAACATTTAGTTCACTACGGACCGCTGATTGGTGGAATGTATAGCACTACAAAATTCCAATTGGCAGAACATATGTTATTATCATAGTCTACCAATCAAAAGTCTGTTCAAGCTGGTGCTTTCTAAACACTTATCTATAGTCCATCCGACGGATCGAGTCAGTAACTATAATAATAAAGACAAAGATAAGTAATGACCATTTGAGTGGCCAGTGATGGCCAGGGACAAGGTTAATTGCCAACCAATAGCTGGGATTAGCACGCGCTATTTTGGTTATTTTTACTGACTCGTAAGTTGAATAGTACACCCAAGAGCAAACTCGGCTTCCACTAGGAGAAAAAGAGGGATAGAAAAAAAGTCTTCTACCACTTGGGAACTTTATTGTAGATAGTGAAATAAATGTTAAATCGAATGTTAATTTGGCATAAATTTCAGTAACTCCCAAAACTAAATGGTAGGAGGCCTTTCGCCAACCTCATATTTTCCCCTAGAAGAAGTCTAGTTTGCTCGTGAGGGTACACTCAGAAGTAAACTCGGCTTTCACTAGGGGAAAAAGTAACACCCCACATAACACTGGATGCCTAATAGGTGTCTTTCAGATACCCCATAAATGATACATTTATATGTAATCCTGTCTGAAAAGATATCTATTCGGCCGCCAAAAAGATATCGAAGGTTACTGTAAAGACTACCTCTAAAATACAGTTATCTGAATGATATCTTTCTGGTAACTTTTTTCAGATGTCTTACGGTATCTGCAGATGACTATGGTTTAGTGGGACGGTAGAAGGGACCTTCTACCATGCTCCTACCATTTGGTATTGGAAATTACTGAAATTTATGCCAAATTAACATCCGATGTAACATCTATTTCAGTACTTGAAATCAATTTATCAAGTGGTAGGAGGCCCTTCCCTTACGCCAATTTTTCACCTACGGAAAAAGTGATGTAAGGGAAAGACCTCCTACCACTTGGGCTCGGAGTTATTGAAACTTATGCGAAACTAACATTTGGTTTAACATTTATTTCAGTATTTAAAATAAATTTACCAAGTAGTAGGAGGTCCTTCTTTTATGTCACTTTTTCCCCTAGTGGAAGTCAAGTTACTAGAGATGGCGTGAACTGCTACTTGTGAATCACGAGGACGGCCACAGCCGACTCTAGTACTAGCCGTGCTGAAGGTAAAAATGACAACAACGCGGGAGTCCGGCTTCAATACCTTTTTTTTTTTTTTTTCCGTGAGGAAATGCGTTACGCACACCCCCGCGCCCCCCGACGGGGGGAGGGGCGGGGGTAGTGTGGGACTCACCCCTCGGGCTGGGTGCCCGGGAGGGATACCCACTAAAACCTCACGGTGGCCGGGCTCGGCGCTGTGCGGGGAGGCACCAGGATCTCTTGCGAACACGACCGGTACCTCCCCAGCGCCCGCTCCGCCAGTGGACGGCGGAGCGCCCTCTCTGTGGTGGGGGAAGCAGAGCTCCCCCCC